CTCCTCCCCTGACTCTCCCTCCTTCCTTCCTCCAACCTGACTCTCCCTCCTTCCTTCCCCTTCATCCCTGACTCTCCCTCCTTCCTTCTCTCCCTCCCTGACTCTCCTCCTTCCTTCTCTCCCTCCCTGACTCACCTCTACGGAGTGAGTCAGTGCAGTCCTCCTCTCCTTCCTGTTTCCTCCCGACCAAAGGGTGATCCGTTGGGTTGCCTCTTCCCTTAGAAGGGGATGCACTTCTCACCTCTCCCCATCCCTCCCCCGTTCCCTTGCTGAATTTAATCATATCGCTGCTCTTCCCCTACCTACCCTTCCTTCCCTTCCCCTCCTTCCCTTCCCCTCCTTCCCTTCCCCCTCCTTCCCTTCCCACCTTCCCCTCCCACCACACTCTTCCCTTCACTCAATTTTCCGTGTGATCAATGAAACACACTTGGTGACTTAACATATACAAGAAATAACAAAATAAATAAAAAACTCAGGTGGTTGGCAATACTCAGTGAGGTTAGGTTAGGTTAGGTTAGGTTAGGTTAGGTTAGGTTAGGTAAACGTGGTGGGGAAGCGGCTCAGTTCACACCCATAAGGACTTATGGTCGATTACTGCCGAGTGTTTTCATTATTTGTCCTCCCTCCCCACCAATTTTCTCCCTCCCCACCAATTTTCTCCCTCCCCACCAATTTTTCTCCCTCCCCACCAATTTTCTTCCCTCCCCCTTCCTCCCCACCAATTTCTTCCCTCCCCACCAATTTCTTCCCTCCCCACCCACTTTTCTTCCCTCCCCACCAATTTTCTTCCCCCCCCACCAATTGTCCTCCCTCCCCCACCAATTTTCCTCCCTCCCCCACCAATTTCCACCTAACCGTATATTAATTTTTCACTTCCCTTCCTCTCCATAATGTAAAAAAAAACTGTATTTGTATTATTACGTGTGACGTGTACGAGATGAATATATTTATAACATTGGTAAGGAAGGTGATCAGTGTTGCTCTACTGGATTTGTTTATTTGATCAGGAAAGTAAAATAAAAAATAAAGAGAAAAGTTACAACAATATTGGCGTGGGTGAGCCAGGTGAGAGAGGATAGGGGGCGGACAGGTGAGAGAGAGCGGACAGGTGCAGTATATCTACCTGTTGGTGTGGGAGGGGGGGGGCTTGATAGAATTTAGAGAGCTGCTGTATTTTAATTATTTAATTATTATTATTTTTTTTGGGGGGGGTCAGAGGTCAAGGTCACAGCGCTGAAAGAACCTCCTGTGACCTGACGTGAAGGACAGTTAACACACATACAGTACACCTTCGAAGATATTTTTATCAAATATCAAATCATTCAGACCTTGTCAACCTCCGTCAACTTTCACATTCCACACGCCCCAGGTGTTGGCGGAGAGGACAGGGATCATATCTCTCTCTCTCTCTCTCTCTCTCTCTCTCTCTCTCTCTCTCTCTGTAACATAACATTGCCACAACAACTATAGCAAAAACAAAACAAAAATAAATTAAGGCCATTTATCAACAAAAACAATATATATGATAAAACACACACACACACACACCCACACACACACACACACACTCACACTCACACACTCACACTCACACACACACACACGCACACACACTCACACACACACACACACACACACACACACACACACACGCTAACCTAACTTACTCTTGACTTGTCCTGCTCTAACGTTAACCTAACCTTATCAAACCTGACCCCCTCCTCCCCCCACAGGTATCGACCTTTGAGTGGTTAATCATCAGGTGAAACATACTGACGGGGCTAATCTTCAGGTGTAATAAACTAGGGACTAATCTTCAGGTGTAATAAACTAGGGACTAATCTTCAGGGGTGATAAACTAGGGGACTAATCTTCAGGTGTAATAAACTAGGGGGCTAATCTTCAGGTGTGATAAACTAGGGACTAATCTTCAGGTGTAATAAACTAGGGACTAATCTTCAGGGGTGATAAACTAGGGGACTAATCTTCAGGTGTAATAAACTAGGGGACTAATCTTCAGGGGTGATAAACTAGGGGACTAATCTTCAGGTGTAATAAACTAGGGACTAATCTTCAGGGGTGATAAACTAGGGCTAATCTTCAGGTGTAATAAACTAGGGGCTAATCTTCAGGGGTAATAAACTAGGGGCTAATCTTCAGGGGTAATAAACTAGGGGACTAATCTTCAGGGTGATAAACTAGGGACTAATCTTCAGGTGTAATAAACTAGGGGACTAATCTTCAGGTGAATAAACTAGGGGCTAATCTTCAGGTGATAAACTAGGGGACTAATCTTCAGGGTACTAGTAATCTTCAGGGGTGATAAACTAGGGGCTAATCTTCAGGTGTAATAAACTAGGGACTAATCTTCAGGGGTGATAAACTAGGGGACTAATCTTCAGGTGTAATAAACTAGGGGGCTAATCTTCAGGGGTGATAAACTAGGGGGCTAATCTTCAGGGGTGATAAACTAGGGGGCTAATCTTCAGGTGTAATAAACTAGGGGGCTAATCTTCAGGGGTAATAAACTAGGGGGGCTAATCTTCAGGTGTAATAAACTAGGGGGCTAATCTTCAGGTGATCCGCCAGAACGTTGGTAATATGAACAATTGATATAAAAGGCAAACCATAGCAGCAGTTAAGTTAAGTGATTAATGCAGTGAATGACATAATATCATCGACTGCCGCGGGAATGGTATCTGATAAGGCATTTACTCTTCATTAAATGCCCAGGAAACTCTCTCTCTCTCTCTCTTGGGGTAACTGAAGGTAACTGATCTATAGTGAAGAGGAAATTTGATCTCAAAGTGGTAGAGAGAGACAAAGTGATAGCAGTACTGTAGTGGGAGTCATAAAGTGTAGTGAAGATGTACAGTTAGTATTATAATGTGTCGGGTGGTGGTGGTGAAGCAGGAGGGTTGATTGAGCAATTTGGGATGATATAGTGTTGGCATTTGTGTGAGTCGAGAACCTTGGTGGTGGTGGTGGTGGTGGTGTTGGTGGTGTTGGTGGTGGTGTTGGTGGTGGTGTTGGTCGACTCATAACAGTACTGTAGTCATGTCATGGTGGCGGTGGGTACAGTGTTGCATGGCCTTCAGAGTATAAGCTTGAAGGACCTTGGTAGGTGTGAGAGTCGGGGCCCTGGGCTGTGTAGAGTGTTGGTACGCGCTGCCCACTAACACTCACCCCACCACTCCCACCCTAACCCCAGTGGCAGGTAAACACGAGGTACAAGGACTCCTTAGTTAGAACATAGATCCTGCAGGAAGTCAGTGAGAAAAGGTGAGGATGAGTCATGCTTGTTGGTTCGTGTGTTTGTTTTTTTTTGTTTGTTTGCATTTCATCACTCAAGAGTTGTTGGTGTGTTTTTTTCTGTTTGTTCTATCACACACACACACACACACACACACACACACACACACTGACGCTACATAATTAATGCTCATTAATGTTGTTCTTTCTTGAAGTGATGGATAGGGGGTGGCGAAGAGGGGTGGCAAGAGAGTGGGTGGTCAGTAGGTACGTGGGTGGGTTGGTGGGCGGCCGGAAGTTTGGTGGGTGGGTGGGTGGTATAAGAGGCTGAAGGTGATAAGTGGAGGTGAATCGACTTTGTGTATAAGAGATGAAGCGGTGACTCATGTTGTTGCTTCATGGTGGCCTAAAGTGCTTCTTGGTGCACCTGTGACTTCCCTCCCTCTCTCCACCTGTTGCGTCATGGTATAGTGTTACTTGACGCATCTCTCTCTCTCTCTCTCTCTCTCTCTCTCTCTCTCTCTCTCTCTCTCTCTCTCCATGTTTGTCTACCCAAGCTGCCTCTATCTCTCCCCCATCTCTAAACCTCTTCTGCCTCTCTCCATTCCTTCTATGTCTTCCTGATGTGAGGAGGTGAGAGGGGAAGGGGGGGGGGAGTAGGGTGAAGGGGGGGGTGATGGTGACGTATTTTCCCAACAGCTCATTAACACCACTGGGGGTCCCGACTTACCTGTACTCTGCCCTCCTCTAATCTACACACACTCTCTCTCTCTCTCTCTCTCTCTCTCTCTCTCTCTACATGTGCTGGCTAACGCATCTCAAAAAGACCCGATTTGCTTTATATAATTTACATATTGATGGCTGTGTGTGTGTGTGTGTGTGTGTGTGTGTGTTGTGTGTGTGTGTGTGTGTGTGTGTGTGTGTGTTCGTTCTAACAAAGAATTTTCCTAGACTCCTGAAGACTGATGTCAAACTTTGTACCGAGAAATAACAAGACCGCCACCAGACTTGTCACTACACGTCTTGGCCCAGCTGTGAACCTATAACGTCGGTATAAACATATTGCCTCACAACAATAGTAAACTCAAGACTTTACTTCCAGGAAAATATTGTCCGTCATGTAGTTCAGTTACGGATCACTTGAACGTTTGCTATCTTCCTCCTAAAACTCCTCCTCTAACTCCTCCTCCCCCTCTTCCTCTAACTCCTCCTCCCCCTCTTCCTCTAACTCCTCCTCCCCCTCTTCCTCTAACTCCTCCTCCTCCTCTTCCTCTTCCTTTAACTCCTCCTCTACAAAATCGTTTTCATGATTTTTGACGGATTTTATTTTATTTTGTTTTCTTCTGTTTCTGAGAGTTTTAGTTCGCGTTATTACGTGTTTGTAGGAGTAAACAATATGACACTGGGGGGAGGGGGGGGTAATAGAATGCGTTTACTGTCAGAGTGAAGGTGTGGGGGGGGGGTATAGTGGGTGTATCTGGGAGGGGTGTGGTGCTCGCTACGTTGTAACTGTGAGTGGATCATATTGACAGTGGCTGTGATGCCCTTGTGGTCGTGTAGTGGCCAGTAGTAAAGTATAAGTGGTGGGCATCACGTGATCTGTGGGTGGGTGACAGTGCAGTAGTGTTTGTCTCTGTATGTTAAGGTATTTTTATTGTTTTAATGGTTTTTGTTATCATGTTTTGTATGATGCTGACTGCCTCATCAGGTATAAGTGTTGTAATGTGTTTCTGGTTTTCTCGTTGCAGATGACTCAAAAGATACCTAGATAAGAGGTGCCTCCTCCTGCTCCCTCCTGTGAGAGTTGCCCCGCCAAGTGGACGCCTGCTGGCCCCCCAAGTGAGGGTGTCGTCCTCCTGGTGCACACGAAGAACGGTGTGGGGTGGGTGGGGGCCAAGTTGTCCTCCACACAGCGAGGGGCCACACGAGGTCGCAGCTGGCGGTGTAGTGTAGTGGTGGAGTCCGTCCCTCTGGGCCAGGTGTGTATGTGAGTGTGTGCGTGCGAGTGTGTGTGCACATGTGTGAGTGAGTGTGTGTGTGTGTGTCTGTGTGTGTGTGCTAAAGGGAGGTGGGTGTCCATCCCTCGCCGCCACTTACCACCCTCACCACCAGTTACACTCCTCCCTCTCTCGCGCCCTCACCACGCCGCTCCACCTTCAGGATACACACACCGCCAGGGCCCTGCACAACACGTCCCTCCTCTCGCCGAGCTTCCCTCCTACTCTTCCCTCTTCCCCGTGAAGAATAATTAAACACCAAAGAAAAACTGTGAGCGGGAGTCTGGTAGTGGCAACCAGAGCGTTGAGTTGAGGTCATTGTATTTAGTGAAGTGGAGGAGCGAGAGATAGTGAGGCAGTGGACACGTCAAGCTCATAGGAGGCACCACCAGCAGGCAGTGAGTGACAGACATAACCTTCAGGATCTACAGTTTTAAAAGTGTTCAAAAAACCTCTTGTGTTCCCCTCCACAACAACAACAATTACACTCTGCGCCAAAGTGTTCAATTAAAACCAAGTGTATCTGGAGTCATTATAAAGTCTTTCAGTGTGAGTCCATTCCAAGTTTGTAGTTTAGAGGTGCGGCCAGCTAGAAAATGGTACAATTACAGAGAACTATTTAGAGCTGAGAGAGGAAGAGAGAGAGAGAGAGAGAGGACCTTCACTAGTGTATTACGTGTTGTGTCTCGTCCATGACTGTTAACGTGTAGGACTCGTCAGTAGAGTAGCTGTTACTTAAGACCACTCGAGGAGGTTCTTAAGTTTGGATAATAATTACAAACACGTCCATTAGATCTGTGAAAAATAAATATTAAAAAGTGCAAACAAGTTGGAATTTTGTTGTGCATAAACCAAGACAAATAACATTAAGCCGTCCAGGAAGTGCACAATTGTGAGACCTTGACCAGACTTTATCCAGCCATAACCCAGTCATTTACCCCCACTACTGTCACCTAACTACAACACCCCCCCCCTTCCCCATTAACCACACATAGACACATTCACTCAACCAAACTGTCATTCCACCAAGTCTTACCAACAACCAGAAGAGACTTAATCCTTCTCGTAAAATAATAAGAACAAAATCAACCCAAATCAAGTGTATCTGTCCGACTTCACCAATAACACAGTAGTACTAACCAGCAACAACCATCACCAGGCCACGTCAACCACAACCACCCACCGAAAAATCAACCTTTTTAATCAGGAACCCACCACGATGACGTCACTCAACTCCCTGTTCTCCTTTACCTCCCCGGCTGTGAAGAAACTGCTAGGGTGGAAACAGGGTGACGAGGAGGAGAAGTGGGCGGAGAAGGCTGTAGACTCCCTGGTGAAGAAGCTGAAGAAGAAGAAAGGAGCCATCGAGGAGCTGGAGCGAGCACTGTCTTGCCCCGGCCAGCAGTCCAAGTGTGTCACCATCCCCAGGAGTCTGGACGGACGCCTTCAGGTAATGTGAAGGAACTTGTTGTCTTGGAGTGTTGTTATTGTTATTATTATTATTATTATTATTATTTTATATATTTTATTGAATTTAACCTTTTTTTAAGGCCTGGATGCATTTTTACTTACTACTGAAGGTTTAAAACTCTACTTTGGTTTATCTCTGGAGGTTTAAAACACCCACAGTTTACTTCTGAAGGTTTAAAACATCCACAGTTTACTTCTGAAGGTTTAAAACACCCACAGTTTACTTCTGAAGGTTTAAAACATCCACAGTTTACTTCTGAAGGTTTAAGCACATACGGTATTCACACAGTTTACTCCTGAAGGGTTTACAGATTTATACTTGATTCTGCCACAGTTGAATCTGTCTAAAATGGGTTTAATAATTCCTGTCAGTACGTTCAACACCTGTCTTATTTGTTCTGTCAGCTGACCCCAGATGTATTACCACACTCCCTCCCCTTCCTCAGTGTGTGTGTGTGTGTGTGTGTGTGTGTGTGTGGGCGGAGGAGATAGATGAGTGAGTCACCCCAGATAACCAGCTGTGTGATTAAGTGTGGTGAGCCAGCCACCTGCTGCGGCCAGGTGTTTCTCCCGCCTTAATTATCGCTGCCCACACCTGCGACGCCCACGGCCATGTGAAGAAATGAGAGAGGGGGGAGGGGGGGGATTGAACAGGTGGAGGAAAATTAGAACAAGGAAATGCAGAGAAACAAGTATTGTGAGGACGAACGAAGGGAGGGAGGGGGAAGAGAGGGGGTGGAGGGAGGGGAAGAGGCTGATGGATGGATAGATGGCGTGTCCCCTGAAAAAAATGTTGGGTGGGGAAGTCGAGGCACCTGTCTCACTACCTCACCTGTTTCACCACCTCACACCTGTCTCACTACCTCACCTGTCTCACCACCTCACACCTGTCTCACCACCACACCTGTCTCATCACCTCACACCTGTCTCACACTCACACCTGTCTCACTACCTCACACCTGTCTCACCACCTCACACCTGTCTCATCACCTCACACCTGTCTCACTCTCCACCTCACCTCACACCTGTCTCACCACCTCACACCTGTCTCACCACCTCACACCTGTCTCACCACCTCACACCTGTCTCATCACCTCACACCTGTCTCATCACCTCACACCTGTCTCACCACCCACACCTGTCTCACCACCTCACACCTGTCTCACACCTGTCTCACCACCTCACACCTGTCTCACCACCTCACACCTGTCTCACCACCTCACACCTGTCTCACCACCACACCTGTCTCTCACCTCACACCTGTCTCACCTCACCACACCTGTCTCACCACCTCACACCTGTCTCACCACACACCTGTCTCACCACCTCACACCTGTCTCACCACCTCACACCTGTCTCACCACCTCACACCTGTCTCACCACCTCACCTGTCTCACCACCTCACACCTGTCTCACCACCTCACACCTGTCTCACCACCTCACACCTGTCACCACCTCACACCTGTCTCACCACCTCACACCTGTTTCACCACCTCACACCTATATCACCACCTCACACCTGTCTCATCACCTCACACCTGTCTCACCACCTCACACCACCACCTCACACCTGTCTCATCACCTCACACCTGTCTCACCACCTCACACCTGTCTCACCCACCTCACACCTGTCCACCCCACACCTGTCTCATCACCTCACACCTGTCTCACCACCTCACACCTGTCTCACCACCTCACACCTGTCTCACCACCTCACACCTGTCTCACCACCTCACACCTGTCTCACCACCTCACACCTGTCTCACCACCTCACACCTGTCTCACCACCTCACACCTGTATGGCTGGCTATTATTCCTATTATAAGTCATTGTTGTAATAGTGTTAAGGTCACGTTTTATTCACGTTATAAGTAGTTAATAATTTAGTAGTTTGTTTATCTCGGTGTTGTTAAGGGTAATGGTTACCTGAAGAGGGAGGGAGTGAGGGCAGGTAACACGCATCGCGGCGCTTGAGGCTACTGCACCTGCATCTAGTCCGGCACCTGATAAATCTCCAGCCGGCAGCCAAGGTGTTATTTTGCCTTGTGGTGGGTGTGACAGCAGGCTCCGGTCGTTTACCCCCCACCCACACCACCCATATCCCCCACTTCCACCCCCACACTTCCCCACATCCCCCACTCCCACCACCCACATACCACTCACATTCCCCCACATACCACTCACATCCCCCCACACACTACCCACATCCCCCACACCACCCACATCCCCCACACACCACCCACATCCCCCACACCACCCACATCCCCCCACACACCACCCACATCCCCCCACACACCACCCACATCCCCCACACACCACCCACATCCCCATCCACCCCCCCCACACACCACCCACATCCCCACACACCACCCACATCCCCCCACACCACCATCCCCCCCACACACCACATCTCCCCACACACCACCCACATCCCCCCACACCACCCACATCCCCGCACACACCACCCACATCCCCCACACCACTCCACATCCCCCACACACCACCCACATCCCCCCCACACACCACCCACACACCCCCACATGGCAACGGAGTATGGCAACAGGTGATGTAGGGCCATAATTAATGTCATATTAACCGAGTGATGCGTCAGCCTTGCAACACACACACACTTTAACTGACTCCTACGCTGGCTGGGTCACTGGCTGGGTGTTGGTCATCAGAGGTCAACACTGGGGGGTAATTGATAATGGAGGCGAGGACCAATCACAACCCAGAACTGGATGTTGTGTCACGTGAAGTTTGGGTACCTTAGTTTGGTGGTTGTGGAGGAGGAGTGTTGGATCCTTGCTTTAATTAAGGAGGTTTGATTCTGTTTTAGGGCATTGGATACCTTTTAAGAGTATTGAATCCTTTTTCATGGGGGTTGGGTCCTTTTTAAGAGGGTTGGATCCTGTTTAAAGGGTTTGAATCCATTTTAAGATGTTTGGATCCTGTTTAAAGAGGTTGTGGAGGAGGAGTGGTTGTGTGGGATCCTGTTTAAGGGGGTCCCAGGTGGCCGGCGGGATGCACCTGTTCCCTGAACCTGGGTACCCGGGATCCCTTATATGTCCAGGTGTGACGTCACATCTCCTAAAGGGGCCGGGGGAGGGGGAACTACAATTATGTTCTATTATTTTCCCTCTTGGCCATGTTGCTGGCCAGTGTGTGGACGGCTGCACCCATGGGAGGGGCTGAGGACAGTGTGGTGCAGGGAACGACACCAACAAGTCTCAGTGTTGATTCAAATATATTTTTAGCCTTTGATATGATGTTTTATTATTATTATTATTATTATTATTGTTGTTGTTGTTCTTGTTGTTGTTGTTATTTTACATTACCAGGGCAGAGGTGTGCGTTTCTCTCTTATAGGTCACAGGTCAGGGCCTCAGGTAGCGTTTACCAAACAAAAACAGCTGCACAAAAGCTCTTGTGAACACGTGCATATTAGGTCAGGGTTTGAGGCTTGGCTCATTTCCGGTTGAGCGAACATCTCGTAAATCCGGTTAAACGAAAATTCACTGAGTGCTGTTGAACAAAAATATCGTAAATGCTGTTAAACGAAACCTTCACAAAGGAGATTAAACGAAAATGCAGCAAATTCGGTGAAATGTGGACGCGACAGATCCGGTTAATGGGACAGATAGGCACGTGCCTGTTCTAATTGGCCCAGACCTAATTATGTCTTAACTGTTAGGAAGAGGTCACAACCCTCGTGATTATAGGGCCTGTTAGGACTGTGGCCTGTTGATACTGGAGCCAGTTAGGATTGGGGCTTGTTGGGACAGGGGCCTGCTAGGACTGGGGTCCAGTTGAGTCGTGGGCGTTGCAGTGGGGGCGGCGAGTGCGTCACTAAGGACAGGATATTGTCTGATGTATGTAATTGTGTCCACTTGGAGGAGGGGAGGGGAGGAAGGAAGGGGGGAAGAGGAAGGGGGAGTTTAAATGTCGTTGCCAGGGAGGGTAGGGAGGGAGGGAGGGAAGGAGGGACGGACGTACCCACCCACTGCTACGCGTGCACGCTCGCATAACGCGTTACTGCTCAGATACGCACGCAAGCTAGAATTAACAATGACGGGCACTCACTCACACGCGAACCAGCTTATGCACGCACTGATGCACGAACGAGTGAATACGTGCGCGCGCAGGTGAATGAATACGAGACCCCACTAATTGAACGTCTTACCTACTTATGCTACCAATGAACACACCCGTCACACACCCACCCTAACACACACACCTACCTCAACCCCCCCCCCCATACACACACATTTCTAATTCATCAACACATGTTTGGTTCACAGTGAGTGGCACATCCCAATGGAGAGAAGTGAGTCACCTCTACCCCGATATAGAACTAGGGGGGGTGGGGGTGGGGGTGGCAGATGTATATAATTTGTGGATTGATTCTTTTCCTGCACGCCATATTTAATCCTTCGTTCCTTCCTAAGACCTCGCAGTTATAAAGGTCTCGCTGTGTGTGCGCGCGCATGTGTTTTGGATTACCTTTATGTTATTGTATTTCTTATGTTCTTATGTATTGTATTCGTGTTTGGTTAGGTTAGGTTAGCATAGCACTAAGATAAGCCAGATTAGATTAGATTAAATGAGGTTAGCTCAAGGATGGTTAATCTGATGAAGAGATTACCTGGTGAAGTAAAGTTACAGGTGATCCCTAAATTGTATCCCTAAATAATGTGTGACAGGGGAAGCATTACCCCACACTTGGTAGCTCTTATCTGTGGTGTACCGGGGGAAAAAGATCTCAATAAGAGTGCACAGAAAAAGCGGAAGGAATTAAGATACTGATATGGAGATTAGTGTGGGGGAGGTAGGGGTGGGAAGGGGGTGTGTAGGGTTGGGGTGGAAGGGGTGTGTGGGGGAGGTAGGGGTGAAGGGAGGTGGGGGAGGTAGGGGTGGGGCAGGGGTGTGGGGAGGTAGGGGGGGTGGAAGGGGTAGGTGGGGAGGTAGGGTGGGAAGGGG